AAAAATATTAAAACTAAAATTTTTTCTTCTTTATTTTATTAAAGTTAATAAAATTCTGAAAGAAATGACACCTTGACAAAGAAAATATGTTAATTTTTCAATTAGATATCTAAGAAAAACCAAATTTTCAATGTTTTTACTATTTTTTTTATTTCTCTGGCAAAAATTAATATTTTTAAACGTTCTTAGGCTCATTAAAATCGTATTTTGTTGTGCAATTCAAATTATATAAAACAATTCATGTACACATTCTTCCCTAGCGTATGCAAACCGTGAAAGTTGGCTCATAAAATGTCAAAAAATTTAAATTTAATTCTACAATAAAATATAATGTTTAAAAATCAAGTAAATATATCATTCTAAACTTCTCTGATTTATGTAAGTAAATTTAAGATTTATACATTTTACTGATCATTTTTTGTCATATAAATATTAATCACAATTTTTTGACATTTTATGAGCCAACTTTCATGGTTTGCATACGCTAGGGAAGAATGTGTACATGAATTGTTTTATATAATTTGAATTGCATAACAAAATACGATTTCAATGAGCCTAAGAACGTTTAAAAATATTAATTTTTGCCAGAGAAATAAAAAAATAGTAAAAACATTAAAAATTGGGTTTTTCTTAGATATCTAATTGAAAAATTAACATATTCTCTTTGTCAAGGTGTCATTTCTTTCAGAATTTTATTAACTTTAATAAAATAAAGAAGAAAAAATTTTAGTTTTAATATTTTTGAAGATTTGAAGAGTTTTATACTTGTTGAAAAAGCAGAGTTCGCACAATTTCGGACGGTAGTGTATATACCGTATGAATGATTTCAAACTGATCATAGGCAAGCGTGAGTGCGAGAGAGACGCAATATATATATATATATATATAGTATTATAGAGGTATCTATGCAAATTTTAAAATATAAGAAAATAAAAAAACATATAATATAAAAAACATATAATGATCAGCAATCTTATGTTAGTAGCTTCTGCAGTTAGGAATTTTATTAAATAAACAAAAACAATTATTTCAATTTTATAATTATCTTCTAATCAGGATTGCATATTCTTAAACTTTCAATTAGGAACTAAATTTTGTTATTTTTATTTGACCATTTAAACGTTTAACTTTTATATAAAATTATGTACATTATTGCAAATTTGTTGCAATTTATTTATATTTTACAGTATAACACCTTAAAAAATCTATCCTTTGAAATGAACTAAAAAACGACGTAAGGAAATACATAAAAAACGACGTATAAAATGAAGTAAAAAATGACATCATTTTTTATCCCAAAAAACTATGTCCTTTTTGAAGTACTTTTTCATGTCGCTTTTGACGTCAATTTTGAAGACTTTTTGCACGTAATTTTTGACATAATTTTTCACGTTGTTTTTTGCGTCATCTTTTTCAACAGGGATCATAATACACAAACTAACCATTGTGCTGTAAACATTGTTATGATTCTTCGAAATTGGTTTCTAAATGTATCGAATGAATTGAGAAATTTTTCAGATGGTGTCAATGAAGTGGATTGTACTTATACTACTTTAAAATCTTTTTACAAATATTCTGAATCGTATATATAATAAATTTTAAATACTTTATCTGAATAAATTAATTTATTAGATTTAAAAAATAAAAAAACGCCTATTTATTACTTGAACCTATACCCTTAGTATTAAGACTAATAATGAAGGTAAAATAAGAAAAGAAACAATTTTTTATATAAATTTATACATTTATTTTTTCTCACATTTTGAATATTTACAATTTTATATTACAATTATTTTTTTATTTTATAGTCTAATAATTTTTTTAAATATTACTTATATTCAAATTTGATTACATTAAACTTTCCGCCGATATATTTCAATTGTAATTCTTGAGATTGCGCGGCTTCTTCAATCATTGTGAAAGATGCAGGTTCAGCTTCGAGCAGCTCCGCGAACCTCGCTAGGAGAAAAGTGTTGAATGTAGTATCTAGTTCTGCTACAATCCTACCTCCGCATTTTGTCTGTACCCTCTTTATTTTAGTTACAGTATATAAAGCATTTGGAGTCAAATCAGCAAGCGTTTTTGTTGGCAGGAAACTTTATATGTGACCAATAGCGTTGAGTTTTGTAAATCCATGATTTATTTTTAAATCTGTAAACATAAGTAAAGGAAAAATTTTAATATAAAAATCAAAATTAACCCGGGAGGGGAGTGGGTTAAAAAAAGGAGTTAAAGTAGAATATATACCTTATAGAAGATGGAGTAGTGATGCTAATGCTGTGGCTGCTGTTGATGTGGTTGCTTCAGTATATCTGTAACAGTGATACTATCTCTGGGCTTGTGTTCTGCATTATATCCCATCAACCCCACTCTTCTTTTTCTCCCACTTCTTTTCACTCCAACTTAAAAAAAATAAACTGCGCACGCAACTCACCATATACTCTGTATCCCTACTCTATTATAATAATGCGCACGCAAGTTGATGAAAAGAGAGAGAGGGGGAGTGCGCATGCAGCTCAACATATACTCTAAACCCCACTCTGGTTGTCAAGAGGGTGGAAACTGGGAGGGTAGCTGAAAAAGAAATAAGCAAATGAGTGGGTGGCAGCGGGTGACCAAGTGGGAGGAAAGTGGATAGAATTTTCAAAAAATGCATATGCAAACGGGTTAAAAATTTTAAAATTCCCGGGAGCAACAGCGCAATCTTGCGACAACAGTCGGTGACACCAATCTATGGTAAAGTAGAGTTACCATTGAAAAATAGGGACTTACCATGAAAAAAAGTCTTAAAAAGTGGCACCCTCTTTTGAAAAACAAGATAAGTATATGGTAAAATAGTTACATACCACGGAAAATAATATCGGCATGCAAATTAGTGGGTGGAAAGTGGGGGGGGGGAAGCTTTTAAAGTCATGAGTGGGTGGTTGAGGGTGACCAATTGGGAGGAATGTGGGTTCACAACATCCCACCACTGAACTCCATCCCCACTTGACGCATGGACTACCAACGGGCCCGGTGACCGTACGTGTTCATCTGCCGCTCAGCTTTTACTTTTGAGTCATCCACTGTGCACCACCCACAACCACTCACTCCCAACCACCAACACTCCAACAGTCCTGCGCGGTATCTCGTGAACCCTTTGTTCCTCGAGGTTCTAATTATGATTTTTGATTTTTTGGGACAGTATATGTTTATACATAGGGAAGACATATGCAAATTAGGAGGTTGGGTAGGTGACCAAAAGGGTTAAATTTTAAAAAGACATATGCAAATAAGGGTGTGGTGTCTGACCAAGAGGGTGGAAAGTGGGTGGTAAGGAAGGTGATCAAACGGGTTAAAAATTTCAAAAATTCCCGCGAGCAACAGCGCCATCTCGCGACAACGGTTGGTAACATCCACCAAGGGTAAAGTAGAGTTACCATATGTCGGTAAGGTAGATACCTACATTACCTGTTTTATAGAACTGGCACAGCCCTACTACTAGCCACCCAGAAAACCTCCGAGTAACAAGTTTCCAGCAGATTTTGGCGATTTTTAGAAATCATGTCTGCCATTTTGAATCCGCCGTTTTAAATTTTTGAATACTGATGCCAGGTACATAATCAGCGATCCCAAACACCTCAAGCGTATATGAGAGTATTTTAATTGTTATATTGTAACCACTTTTTAACTCTTTTTTAAACCTTTTTTAACATTGTATATTCAAAACAATGGTTATGCTCAACTCTAAACGTTTATAGAATTATTATCCTTCAATATAAAGCACTTTGGACTATGTTTAAATGCGAAATTCGAGGGCCCAGAAATGGAGTGAAGGGGGCACACTTTTACATAAAAGTGAATTCCAATGTATTCTATTGTAGTACACTACCGTCCGAAATTGTGGGAACTCTGCTATTTCAACAACTATAAAACTGTTCAAATCTTCAAAAATATTAAAACTAAAATTTTTTCCTCTTTATTTTATTAAAGTTAATAAAATTCTGAAAGAAATGACACCTTGACAAAGAGAATATGTTAATTTTTCAATTAGATATCTAAGAAAAACCCAATTTTCAATGTTTTTACTATTTTTTTTATTTCTCTGTCAAAAATTAATATTTTTAAACGTTCTTAGGCTCATTGAAATCGTATTTTGTTATGCAATTCAAATTATATAAAACAATTCATGTACACATTCTTCCCTAGCGTATGCAAACCGTGAAAGTTGGCTCATAAAATGTCAAAAAATTTAAATTTAATTCTACAATAAAATATAATGTTTAAAAATCAAGTAAATATATCATTCTAAACTTCTCTGATTTATGTAAGTAAATTTAAGATTTATACATTTTACTGATCATTTTTTGTCATATAAATATTAATCACAATTTTTTGACATTTTATGAGCCAACTTTCACGGTTTGCATACGCTAGGGAAGAATGTGTACATGAATTGTTTTATATAATTTGAATTGCATAACAAAATACGATTTCAATGAGCCTAAGAACGTTTAAAAATATTAATTTTTGCCAGAGAAATAAAAAAAATAGTAGAAACATTGAAAATTGGGTTTTTCTTAGATATCTAATTGAAAAATTAACATATTCTCTTTGTCAAGGTGTCATTTCTTTCAGAATTTTATTAACTTTAATAAAGTAAAGAGGAAAAAATTTTAGTTTTAATATTTTTGAAGATTTGAACAGTTTTATAGTTGTTGAAAAAGCAGAGTTCGCACAATTTCGGACGGTAGTGTATGTCGTTTTTTTTAATTTTTTTTAAACACTTTTAAAGCACTGAAAATCAAATGTTGAAATCTGCAGATCATTATAAATTTTTTTCTGCATAAAATTTAGAAATCGTATTGAAAAGAATTGAATTGAGCTTATTAATACGTATACCATTGAATTACTTTCAAGATTACTTGACTCTCACAAAATTTCGGTTACAATCACTTTGATACTTCTCACTCTTCAGGAAATAAAAATATTCAAAATATGACTAATATTTTTTCTTTCAGTTGTCAATGACCAATGGACTCACAGGAGAATTACAATTTGATAAGGAAGGTAAAAGAATATTATATTTATCCGTAATTTCATTTCAACATCATGAATATGTCACTACTCATAAATGGAGTGTCGGTGAAGGATTGCAATTAATAAAACCTGCTGATTCCGTCAAAAGTTACACGGATACAATTTTTGCTTCAAAAACATTCATAGTCACCACAAAAATAGTAAGTTTGTTCAATTTAAAATAACTATTTTCAGGGTTGCCAGACTTGGCGATTTATCCATTCTATCGATTTTAAACTCTTTTTGGTGACCACTTTTCTATATTTGGCGATTGGATCCAATTACCCTATTGAAAAAAACAAGTATAATTATACGTATAATAATACATATTATTATACGTATAATTATATGTGTTTTTTCAATAGGGTATGGCGATTTGCAAATTGGATTTGCGATTTTTGGCGATGACACAGATAATAAATACTACTATTTGAAATTTTCATTGCATTTATTCTTTATTGTTTATTTACGCCCTAGTGATTTTCATAACCCTAAATTGATAAGCTGAAATGTCCAAAGAACTGGAAGGTTTGAGTATAGCAAAACCAATTATAACAACTTATTTTACTTCGCATATATTTATCCGCGCGTAAAGAGTGTGAACGCTGCCTGTCGATTTCGTCTGCTTTATAACGTTTATAACTGTACAGTTACTGAAACTAAGTGATCGCAAGTAATGACAAAGACATTTTGTTAATGCATATTTTGTCCTCGTGAACGATTTTAAAATGTCAAAATCAAGTAAATATCCCGAGAAAGTGCGATACTACAAACCCGATTGGTAAAAACAGCCATGGGCTCAAGGTATGTATATAGAAAATATTATTGTTTTCAAATATTTCGTGATACTGTTAAATTGAATAAATTATCGAATTATTGTCATAAATCAACATAACCTAAAAATAAACAAACTAATTGAAAAATAAACAAATATAAAATAGTTTATTTAAATTATGACTTTTAATTTAAAGCATATAGCGATTGTGCAATTTTAAAATAGCGAAGAGGATAATTGTAAGAATTTACAAAAAATTTTAATATTTCAGGATGGCTGTAAGAAGCTGAAGAAAACTCTTTTCAAGAAACATATTGCAAAATATGTAGGAAATCTTTGCGAGCTCATTGTACAGATCTTTAAAGGCACTCGCAAACAAAAGAGCATGTCTCTAATAAAACGAGATTTGATAGCAAAAGAAAAATAACGCAAGATATCAAAATTGTTTTTAGCGAAAAAGAAAAGTGTTCAGATCTAATATTTTCGACGTACATAGCGTGTCATTCGAAGCATCGTTGATTTGTGTGAAATTGTCAAACAGGTCGGAAAAGGAACCGGGTTAGAGAATTTTTTAAAACAATTGGACTGAAACTAGCAAATATATCTGGGATTGGAACCGATGGGGGAAGCAATCATTGCGGCAAAAACCATTCTTTGTACACTCTATTAAAAGAGTATAGTCCTAACATACAATTAATTAAATGTGTATGCCATTTAGTGGATAATTGTGCTTCTGAAGCGGCCAAAGAGTTTCCATCGAGTGCAGAATTTTTGTTAAAAGAAATTTACAATTCGTTTAAAAATTCTGCTAAAAGAAGAGGAGCGTATAAGAAACTGTGGGACACTTTCAACGCATGTGAATCAGAAGCTGACAGGGACCAAAATCGACAATTTCATCAATTCGTCCAGTTATCTGACACTAGATGGTTAGCAATGTTTAATGCGGTTAAAGTTATTTTGGAGAACTGGACTGAATAAAAAACTCATTTCAATTTGGTGGTTGATGAAGGCGAAAAATGTTACACATCAAGATTAATCAAAGAAATGTTTAACAACAATTGCAATTTTAAGCCAATTTTAAGTGAAGTACAACGTGTGAATCTTTCATTTCAACAAAACGATGTGGATCTCGGCCGACTTTATAACGATTTAAGCTGTCTGATTATGCTTTTTGCAAGAAAAGCATTAAAGAAATCGTTCCTCGATCTTGGCATAAATGCAGGACTCGAAGCTTTTGAAAATGATTTGGCGTATTTAAAAATTTCAGAAGTTGATTTTGGCATAGAATATAGTAATGCATTATTAATATACAGAGTTTTACAACAACAACAACAAAATGATGTTGAAGATCGCGCATTAAAATATTTAAAACGTTTATGCATCGAACTTTCGAAAATAATTCCCAGATACTTAAATCAACTTCAGGGTTTAAAATGTTTCTTGCCAAATGTGTGTAAATCAAATGCAACCAAGTATTACGGATTTGTCATTCGCCAAAGAATTTCTGGATAATGAGAAATTAGATATGTTTGAGATTCAATGGAATAAGTTAGCGCTTGTTGATTGGAAAAGTGTTTGTGGAGGAAAAATCCCTGAAAAAATCAGTAAATTTTGGCCTCAAGTTTACAACTTTCAAGATGCTGGTGGCAGTTTCGTTTTCCGAGAATTAGCTGTTTTTGTCTTAAAAACACTAACATTGCCGTCGAGTAATGCCGTGGTCGAAAGAGTATTTTCAATCATGAATGCTGTGAAATCAAAACAAAGAAACAATGTTAGTGCAATTATTAAAACTTCTAGTTACCAGCATGGCGACGGCAGCGCCTGAACACCTGGTAACCCTGACTATTTTTAAATTTTGTATATAGTTATCCAAAATATACAATTAACCTATTAACGGACAAAAGTCCAAAATTTTTACCTCGAATTGAACGTAAGATTTGTAACATTCAAAGACAAAATATTTTAGTGAAAACGTGTTTTAAGGAATATTGCAGGTCGCTCTTTCAGTTTCTGAGCTTAAAATAGTGTTTGACCTCTCCGTTGAACTAATATGGAGGATAACATAAAAAAAATCGCTGTTTTTGAAAATTTTTTTTCAACCAAAACAATAGACGAATCGATCGTAAAATCTTATGCACGAACATCGCTTAAAAAATTTATTAAGAGGAAGCCCATAAGATTTGGCTTTAAATTCGGTCTTTATGTACAGTACCGTAAGAAATTGTCAGTTCCCTTGACATGCGTAGAGTGGAAACTTGGTGCTGACTCTAAAGCAACATATTTTAAGGGGTTTCCTAAATTTTTTTGGTCAAAAAAATCGAATTTTTTTTTCTTCATTTTTTGATAGGAAAGTATGTTAAGAATGTGTGGTTAAATCATTAGATCGTAATTCGCTCAAAATCTTAAGTTATTTAACAAAATACATATATATATATATATATATATATATATATATGCGTCTACAGATCGTATAATTAACCCTTTCGTGTCCACGATAAACCGAGCGAATGGATTTGCTTGAAATTCGTTACTCGGGGTGTTATTGGGGTCTCTGATTACGAATTTAATGTCAGATTTTAAAGATTCAAAATGGCGGATCCAATATGGCTGACAAGTTTTTTAAAAAGTGTTTAGATTGGCTCGAAATGTCCTACTCGGGGGTTTATGGGGTCGCTGATTACGAATCCGGTGTCCATTTTTCAAATTTCAAAATGGCGGATCCAATATGGCGGACGAGTTTTTAAAAAATGCTTGGATTTGCTTGAAATTTACTACTTGGGGGTTTTTGAGGTCGATGATTACAAATCTGAAGTCATATTTTAAAAATTCAAAATGGCGGATCCAAGATGACGGACAAATTTAAAAAATGCTTGGATTGAATATGATGACAGAATTCGAAAATTCAAATATAAAAAAGGTTTTTTGGTTTGCTGATAATAAACCCGACATGGTCATGGACCCAGTACGGACAATTCATCATATTCATATCATTTCATCATTTTCGAGCAAATCCGATTAGTTTTAAAATTTTTCGTCCGCCATATTGGATCCGCCATTTTGAATTTTTAAATTCTGACATCATATTCGTAATCAGTGACCCCAAAAACCCCCGAGTACCAAGTTTCGAGTAAATGCAATTGATTTTTAACTTTCATGTCCGCCATATTGGATCCGCCATTTTGAATTTTTAAAATCTGACATCATATTCGTAATCAGCGACCCCAAAAACCCCTCAGTAAGAATTTTCAAGCTGATTTAGTTACTTCTGCTTGACTAATTATAACCTTTTGATATCAAAACTTTAAACGCTTTTTTCTCAAAACACTATATTTAAAAATGGTAACCAGTAGAACTCAAAAACCGTTTGACCGATTTCAAAAATTCAAGTTGCATTCGATTCAGTGGAAGTTTTTGCAGGCCCTAAACCTCTAATATATTTAAAATATTCAATAATCAGGTTTTTGTGAGTGATTGATTGTCAAAAAATGGTGTTTTTTCAGTTTTTTGGGTTCCAAAGCTTGCCATTTTTTTAATTTTTGATTTTTTTTAATATCTCGAGGTTTAGGACCTGTATTAGGTCTTAAACTTTAAAATCACGTTTGATTTTTTTATTTTAGATGATTCTGCGATGAGCTACAGTGGTTACCGTAAAGGACTTTGATTTTGACCAGTGTACATAGCGACCTCTGTAGAAGGAGCATAATAATATTTTTTAAGATCGCAATTTTTTTTTAAATAGTTCTTGACGTATATAGTAACATGTAAAAACTTTTGATCAATTATATTTTAAAACTTATGAGTACACGATCTTTTAAAAACCTTCTATTTTAGGGCAAAAAAATTTAGGAAACCCCTTAAGTTAGAAAAAAGTTAAGGACTTAAAATTTAGGTGATTGGAAAGCTGATAAAATTCTGCGTCTTAATGTATATCAAATTTTTGTTTAATTCTTCTTGCGATTATAATACCGAAAAGGACTTAAGAAAAAATATACAATTTTCCTACTTTCGTACTAATGTTTTTGACTTCTGGCATGATCAAGAATAATGTATGGAAAAAAGATCTTAAAGATTACGTTCTAAAAGGTTAAGATTTTTCCATTCATTATTCTAGATTAAGGGGTCGTTCGTAAACCACGTAGCCCTACTTTTGTCAGTTTTTGACCCCCCCTCCCCCCATGTAGACTAATTTAGACTTTCGCTGTAAACCCCTCCATTTCCTGGTAGAACGTAGTTTTCCTAACTTAATTATCTAAATGCATTTTCATTGCAGTATCAACGGGTATCAGTAAAGCAAAATCAGTCAAAACATAAATATTAATTTTTTTATTTTTGCATATAGCAACAATCATATAAATGAACAATCTTTAATATTCATTAACTTTAAAT